GCCACAAATTAAGAAATTTACTGCCAAACAAAAATAACTGTAAATACAACCTGAGAAGTAAACATAAATATTAAGTTCCGCTTGCTCGCACCAGCAGAGCGAAGAATTCGTTCATCCTGTCCTTGTGTACAAAAAATTACACAAAATTGGCCAGGTATGGAGTTTTCTTTGTCTCTGTTGGTGTTAGCGAGTACAATTTTTATAATTGTAAATTTAATAAATGTAAATACTTTGTAAAATTTTATTGTATTTTAGATATTAGATATTATTTGTTATTATAACTTTACTAATTTAGATATTTGTAATTCAGCCGCAAGGCTGCAATTAATATTTTAATAAACTACTTACTTACTTACTTACAATAAGCCGAATGGAAATTTGAATTTACTTTTAATTGATTTTATTTTCATTTTGTTTTAAAGAATATTAAATTGAACTGGTTTTTTTCCTGTTTTGAATTACTCTTATCTCATATTCGTTTTAATCGTATTATTTCTATTCATTATTTTCTTAAAAAATTGAAAGGTAGCTTTTGGCCACCATATACTATGTTTTGGTCAAATTAATTTACAGTAAAGCAACATTTACAAAATTGAGCCACCAACATTGAATTTTAGTTAGAATTATTTCCCAATATCTTTAAAGTAGAATAAATTAAAACTTGCCTCATTTTATACATTTATTTTCTTGTTGCTTTCCTTTCTTTAATACCTGGATCATGAGAAAAATTTTTTTGATATATTATCTCCCTCACTGTCTAACCTTTTTTAAGGTAACATAGTTTAGCTTCTCCAGTTTCATTTAATTCATCTACTACTCTTTCTTTAAGATGAGAAGGATATTCCAGTTTGCGCAAATTTGCACATGCAAGGACCTCACGGAGAGCGTCCATTTCCAAATTAGGATTTTCACTAATGTCAAGTGACTTTAGATTTTCCAATTTTGACAACGAACCGGGATCAATGTCTTGAAGTTTGTTGTCGCTGACCTTGAGGACAGAAAGACTCTTCAAATCTGAAATGCCACCAGTAATCTTCTTTATGAGGTTTCCATTTTGATAAATTGTTAAAATTAATGAGGATGGATTTTAAATTTTAAGTTAGCGTTCAGTATTTTGTCTGCTCACAGGAATATAATTATTTAAAATAAACAAATTCTATTTGTTAGTTGTAATTGCTAAGAAATTTTACATTCACTTCCTCTCCAGACAAGCACATTCTATTGCACACTTGCCATTTAAATAAAACAGCAAGATTTGTGACAGAGACACTGTAATAAAATCATATAGCTATACATCAATTATATATTTTCTTGTATCGCGATACTCGTTGAAAAGACAATTCAGAAATCTGAATTATAAAATAAAAATAATAAAACGTGTGTGGTGATTTGTTGTCGCTGCCCCTAAATCTTTTTGTCAGCAAATTATTTAGGTTATGAGCACATATGATATCTCGAAATATTAGGCCCAAAAAATGCAAAATTCGTTAGTAATTAATTTTGAAATAGAAAAGGTGAAGTGTGCAAAGAAGGAACATGGTGATGTCGTACGATCACATGTTTAAAATAAGAAAAGCGACTGAGCGTTCAACATTCGATTGGAATACATGCACTCTGAATGTTATGTCAAGGCATGTTCTTCAAAACATGCTAATGATGGTTGCAAGGAAGTCAAAAATGTATTCCAATCCATTGGCATGATGACAGGGGGTGCAAATATGCCATGGTCACTAGCCAGCTGTTGATTTCAATATGGAAAATAATATAAGGCATCGAATTTTGAATTTGGTTTGAAAGACATACTTAAATTTATGCAACTCAAAATGTTACATTACTCAATATCTAAAGTCAAAAAAGGGGGTATTTAACCCTTTGAGCACGAGCGGCCGTTATTCCGGCCACAAAATATCATCGTCCAAAGTGCGAGCGGCCGGAAAAGCGGCCGCCGCACCTTTCTGTTACTAAGCAGCCAAAACACCAATCATTTCGTCGATATTTAAGCTAATACTGCAGTATAAATGTCCAGCAGGCCCTCCTCTCTACTTTGCATAAAACTTCATGTAAAGAAAGCACTATTTTGGTCATAATAAATTCATATGAAAATGGCGTTCAGTGGTGTTACACATCGCCTTGTTGTGGCAGAGGAAGTTTTAGAATCACTTCTCTATTCAGACAATGAAGGTTTTGAAGGTGATGATTATGGCGACAGTGACTTAGAGAGCGATTTTAGTCCATCAGAAATGGAAGTATCGACAGAAATTAGTGAAGATATTGAAACTGATTTTCCTTCTATTTTGGTCGGAAGAGGACGATCTCGCGGGCGTGAGAGACCAGGACGAGGACGAAGAAGAGGAGCGAGGGGAAAACAAAATTCAACGGCAAAAACATCAGACGATGCTTGGACGACAGACACGAGTGAGTATTCTCAGTGTGTCTTTTCTCCAAATGTACCCACTGGTCCAAAAATATTCCTGAGAGCATTACACTTGATAGTAGTCCAGTTGAATATTTTTCTTTGTTCTGGGATTTTACCATCTGGGAGTTGTTTCTAACAGAAACTAACCGACAAGCTCAGAGATTAGCTACTTACAAACCAAATGGCAGCATTGCAAAAACATTGGGCAAAAATATCTTGTCAATGGAGGAATTGAAAGCTTTCTTTGGTCTCAGAGTTGCCATGGAAATGCTTCTACACAAGGATCGGTATGAATTTTATTGGCGGTCAAAAGATTCAAACATTTGTGCAACTCCAGGATTCTCAAATGTTATGTCCCGAGACCGATTTCTTTCAATATGGTCATGCCTGCACTGTGTGAATGAGGAAGATGAGCAGCTTGATAAAACTGATAAAATTTACAAAGCTCGACCAGTTTTCAATCACTTGATGGCCAAGTTCAAGCATTATTACAATCCTGGATGCAAATTATCCCTTGATGAGGGAATGATTCCAACCAAAAACAAACTTTCTTTCAAACAATACATAAAAGATAAACCTATCAAGTGGGGGATAAAATCATTTCTGCTTTGCGACAGCGAAAATGGATATGTTGTAAATGCTGAAGTTTATACTGGAAAAAGGGAAGATGCAGAAGAAATTGATAAGCTTGGCATAACTGGAAATCTGGTTGTTCGACTAACTAAGGATTACTGTCATCAGAATTACGAACTGTACACAGATCGCTTTTACACATCAGTAGCATTGGCCCAGTATTTGCTTGACAAAGGTATTGGTTTATGTGGTACTGCTAACACTAATCGTAAAGAATTTCCAAAGCAGCTCATACGAAAAAAGAAAGAAATGGTAAGAGGTGAGTATCATCTTCTCTTCAATGGCACTGTTGCAGCTATTGTGTGGATGGATAAGAAGCCAATATATTTTGTAACATCCCTTTATATTACTTCACCTGATGAGCATGTTTTGCGCTATGATCCGAATCTGCATAGAAGGGTGCCTGTGCCTTCTCCAAAAGCTGTGAAATCTTATAATGAATACATGGGTGGGACAGACAGAAATGATCAAATGACCAAATTGCAGAAATGTAAACGTCATTATAAGTGGCCTAGATTAGTGATGAAGTTTTTCTTATGGGCTGCATATAATTCTTATGTGCTGATGGGAATTGTTAGATGTCACTCTTCTCTTGGCCATAGGTCGTATACATTTCATTTATTTGTTGAAACACTTTGTGAGCAGCTTGTGGGACCGTTCAGAACAAAATAGGGCATTTGGTCTACGCACTTCAATGGCTGCTAGTAATGGGAAACATTTCAAGTTGGATGTCCATCATGATGTTAAAAAACCCTCGCATGCTACTAGCAACCAGCGCTGTCGTGTATGTCGAGAAAAATACCTGAGAGCAAAGAAGTCAAACCCAAACCAAAGTGACAGTGTTCTACCAAAAAGGAAAAAAACTATGTTCTGGTGTAAATTTTGCCAGGAATTTTTATGTATAGGTAATCCGGAAGAAAACTGCTGGTATGACTGGCATAATAAAGTTCAATACTGGCGCTAAAATGTTAGTTCTATATATACAAATAGTCTAAGATAACTATATTTGAGGTAAATAGATGAAAAACATATTCAAACAACTCTAACTGTCGGCTTCAATTTTTTCATATTTTCCTTCTGGGAGCTCAGTGTGTGAAGTCAGTCATACGTTGGGAGCGCAGTGTTCAAAGGGTTAAGAGATTCCAAATTTGAAAATAATCATGTGGAGGATTCTTCCATGATTTCTTCAGAACTACTCGCACCTTTGGTGCTCCGCTCGAAGATGGCAGCAACGATGACAAAAGCAATTTAACACCGTGTTTGATGTCCTATAATGAGCATTTTCAACCGTTCTGAAACTTTCTAATAGTAGAAAGTATGAAATAGTAAATAAAAGTACTAATTCAGTTACAAACATTTAACAAAAACGTAGGAATTCGCAAACAAAAACGACGTAATATCAATCTCCAACGCTCTACTCGAAGACGTTAAAAGAACGTAAAAGGAAATAAGGTGCCATTTTAGCCAGATTGAACTAAGCATTGAAGCTAAAAAAGAAAATTAACTTCGTAGACGCAATCCTTAACCTCAACAGTTACACCTTCGATTATCTATGAAGAATTTACTCACTCGTGCTTGTATTTCCAAATTGCACTTAAAAACCCATACAACTATTATGCCTAAACTAATAACTGTATTAGCATTCTTAAGCTTTATATTTATTGGTTCTTTTATATCATTTTTTTATCGTAACCTGTATTTTAATTACTGAGAAGATTTTCTCGGTAATTATGTCAACTTTTATTAAAAAAGTCGTATGACTAATAATACTTTTTTGAATAAATGATTATACAAAAAATCAATTTGAAAAGAAAAACCACCTTATTTAAACCAAACATCCTATGAGAAACATAAGGAAATTTGAAGAATATCACCAACGACAATCTAACTGAATCTTGAAGAGTTAATAATTTTTAATTTTTTCCCGAGAAATAATTTTTACATTTTCTTCTTATTTCTCCACGGTAACCGCCTGTAGCTTTTCTAGTTCTGTTTCATTTAGCCAACTTGCAGCATTTTTCAGTAGATGAAAAGGACAAACCAAGCTTCGTAAGCTTCTACATGCAAGGACCTCATGAAGAGCTTCCATTTCTAAATCATCATTGTCGTCGATATCAAGCGAGTTGAGATTTGGCATTTGTGTCAATGAGCCAGGAAAAATTTTTTGAAGAACGTTATCATTAAGAGAGAGGACTGACAGATTCTTCAAAGTTGCTATATCAACATTAATCTCATTTATAAGGTTTAAATTAAGACGAAGTTTATCAAGACATTCCAAAGCAAGAATCCCTCTCGGTATGGACTTCAAGCCACAGTTCACAATGGATAGGCTTTTCAGTCCGATAAGCTTATCAGAATTTTCAAAATCATCCTCTTCAAGAGTGCATTTGATGATATTAAGTGTCAAGAGATTTTCACATATTAATTGATCGAAAATTCCAAGCGGAATTCCCGGAAGGCTAGTAAAAGATAATGCCTTTTGTTCATCCAATGTAGTTTGCAGACCTGCAACAGGAAATTTTTTACTCAATGCATGAGCCACAATCTTCTTTTTGTTCTCTTTAGAGAGGAAATGTACGAACCTTATAACGTACATTTTGTTGTAGGAATGCAAGAGATGCAAGAGAAATCCGAGGTCACCATCCACTGGAGAAATATCTGAAAGCTCACCAACAGTTATTGAAGACATTTGATCAGAACAGTCATATTCATATTTCTTCAGACGCAATTTGACTGTCCAAATAATTATTAAAAAATATATAAATCCACTAACTGCCAAGACTCCGAGATAAATATGAACGATACTAGACATACAGGAAGCTAGGACGTAGGGGCATAAGAAGTACTCGTGATGGATGGGAATATGCTGAGCTAATTTACACCTCATTGTGTCTTTCACGTCTTTCAAGTAATTAATATTAATGACGAGAAATATTAAAACTGAAAGTAATTGAAAAACAGGTTTCATGGTATAAAGATTTAAAATTTTTTTAGTGGGATGAGATGTTGATATGATATCTTTTAGTGTTTGTACTTTGTCATACAAACCCATAAACGCAATTGAGGGTGTATTGTCTGGAAGGAAATCAGCATTGTACGACTGATCGTGATCAGTCAAGTCGACAGGATTATCTATGGGGATGTTGACGTAGCCTTGGTTTTTACGGGAATTTGACTGGAGGAATGTAAAAGGAGCTGTAAAGTTTAGAAATGGTGAATTATAACACGCCATCACGAGATGAACAAATGTTTCTATTACCGACGAAGTTAAAGGAAGTTTTAACCAGAAATTGTCAAGAATCAAAAGCCATAATGCTTCAACAAATAACACGATCCATAAATTAGCCAAAGAGTTCGAAATTGCATTTTTGCTGCATTCTGAATTGACAAAATGTTTGTACGCAAAGTGGATCTTGTGATTTGTAACGACTTCCCTTCTTTCGATAAAGCTTGTTTTTTGAGACCGATAAAAGTTCGTACATACATCGGGAAATTTCAAATGTGCATTTGACATAAATACATCCAAACTTGATTTTGCCGCACTGGGACAATCAACAACTGGCACACACTCAACTATGGCAGATGTTATTTCCATTCCAGCAACGACGACGGATAATATTACCAAAAGTATTGCCAAATAATTTGTTATAACATCCCAGACAGGCTTCAAGATCTTATAGTTTTCTTTTCCACTATTACAGAAGTGTTTTACGGACATAATCGTGAGAAAATTGATAAGAATTAATGTGAAAACTTTGTATGTTTTATGAAAGCGTTGCGTTACGCAATGTATTTAAATGTTTTTGTTTTTATGCCCAGCAGGATTGATATCGTCAACAATGTTTTGATATTAAATGAAAGCCAATCTGCAAAGCTTTTGAAATCTCGTGAGTGGAAATAGTATTTTCTTGTTCGATGATTAGATCTTTCTTGGTTGAAGAAATGCAAAGTACTTTGAGCTACACGACTGCAATTAAATTGCATATCATCATATCAAAGAACGTGAAATAAAATATTAGATTTCGCTTAAAGCCGAATTTCCACTTGCGAATTTTTTCGCACGAAGCGATAATTTTAGAATTTAAGCGTGCGCAGACGTTCAACACGTCACATACATTGAGCTCTATAAAACCTGGAGGGGCAAAGAGGCCTGGACCCCGTGGTCAAAAACATGGCGGTAATGGCGGATTTTGGTGGTCAAAACTTCCACTTTAAAAATTTTTTTTCAATATTCACTCCCTCCTGATTTCTAATACTGTTTGTATGAACGAAAACAAGTGAGAAAAAATAACAATTACGATACCGACAGCATATCATGTGAAAATAATGCGTCAGCATTGCGTGAAAAACACAGTACAGACACACATCAAAATGAAGAAGATCGACGGTAGAGAAACGCATATTTTGGAAGTAGCATTTAAGTTATTTTATGACAGTTTAGCGTTTTAAAAGTGAAAATCAAACGGCATTCTTTACTAGACCTGTCAATCTCGTCAAACTTATACATTATTTCATGCTTTTATGTGTTTGACTGTTTGTAAACAGTTTGGTGCACCTATTTTTCTTGCTTCAAATGGATAAATCTGTGTAAAAATGCTCCTAAGGAAGCGAGAAAATGTTTGCTTCAGTCCTACGACATAAGTCAACTGAAAGTTTACCATGGATAAGTATCATAAGTGTATTGTCATTACCTGATAAATCTACTGAAAACTCATAAAGAAAGTATGTTGAACTAGAAGAGCTACAAAAAAGAAAAAAATTCAAAACACCATGACACTGTTGCTTGGTAATTTGTATTTTGTAAACAGCTTGGCAGAATCTTGGATCTATTACTGAACAGAACTACATTAATTTTCCATTGAAATTACAAACTTGGAAACTAAAGTGCATTGGTTTCTCTGACAAAAACACTGTCTATTGCTGCATGAAGGCAAAATAGTTATTTGACAGTGTAGGTGAAGAAATTTATCAAGTTCTATAGATATTATTGTGCATTACTTACAGTTTTTTGGAATTGTGTAATATATGTCATGAACAAGATATAATTTTTCAAAATGCTAACCCCTTCGAGCACTACTACTCTTCTGTTTTGCTTAAACAACTTACAGCTACCAATACTAATTATTTATATGTACAAACTAACATTTGGGAATTAAATGATAAACAACTTGTTAAAATCTTTGTATTTTACATCAAGCCTTTGAATTAGTTCTTTTATCTCTTGGTAAAAAATATTAATGAAAGACTTACAAATCAAGTTTCTCGAAAATAGTATTTTGTACAAAGAAACTAAATAATTGGAAAGGTCACATGTTGAAGACAGAATTTGCTTCTTTGACTAGGTTGCTTGACCATGAGCAAATTTAAATTTGTTTACAACTTGTTTAAAGAATTCTTGTTATTGATTTCTACTAATTCTTCATAAGACACAAAGAATTTCTTTGCCATCTATTTTTGCTTCTTCTACATTCAACTTCATTGTAACCAATGCATCTGATGTGAATTTGTGGATCACCTGGAATCATACCAAGTATGGATTTAATGAGATGAGACAATAATATATTTAATTTTTCATGCATATTAATGATATAATCATAAGCTACTGTTGAACAAAAATTTCAAGGTAGAAACAAATCTTAGCACATTGTTCAACACACTACTTTCATCTTGGTTTTGAAGTATTAACCTTTTTACTATAACAATAAATACTTCATTTACAGTAAAACTAAGTAGTACTTTAAAATTGTTTGCATAAGTCCAACTTTCCAATCTCATTATAATTGTCTACACCATACAGTCAGTCAAATTGAGCAGGCAAACAGTTTAATAGTTATTTTTATTATACAACATATACTATAGTTCTCATTAATTTTGCATGGCACTGCATTCAATTTCAACACAACTCTGTTGTAAACTTTCCCTTCATCTTTTAAAAAAAAACATGAACAAATTATGCCCTATTTTTGGGAGGTAAACTCAATTCAAATCAGGAGAGTTTAGCTTGATGCCTTGATCATGATACAAGATGGATGCAAAACTCGATAAAAATTGACAGCTTCGCCACGTCTGACGAGCGATTAAGTGAAGAACAAACAAGACTGGACCAAAATAACTTTAAATTAAAACTTAGTAGTAGAAACACTCTTCAAGTATCGTGTTAAAAACAAAATAGTAAAACTAATACTGTGCTACTTACCGGAGTCAAGAAATGTTCCCTTTTCTGTCGCTATTTCAGCATCCGCAAACCACAGAAGTTGGCAGTTTAATAAATAAAATTTAAAAAAGTGTTTATGTTAGGAAAATAAATAGTTTTGATATTTTCTATACTCGCATTCGTGGTGGTCAAATCAGGGTGGGCGACAAAGATTTTATTTCATGAGCCCGCGTCTCTCCGCTGACTTTGACCACCAAAATCCGCCCTGTTTTTGACCACGCGGCCGCGCGCTGATAATTTATAGCAATTTTGTTGACGTTTCCCCTCCAGGTCTTATAGAACTCAATGGTTGCATATATGCACAGCGATGAAATTTGCATAAGCTGTTCGCCACGACGGAAATTTGAGTTCGAATGATTTCTATTTTTTCGCTGAGAAAAAATTCGCTAGCCAATCAGATTTCAGTGTTTCTAATTTGTGATGTTTGTCAAGCACATTCAGTTTTCAAAATGGCGGACGTCGAGGAGTTAGTTGCTCTTAAAAGACTTTCCAAAATATCTAACAACTCTACTCTACAGAAAACCGACTATTTTGACTAAGGAATTTCTTACACGAAATACAAAACAAACGATACTAATGGAAACATATTCCTCGTCGTAAATACTAAGCTCTCTTACGAGCAGACGAAATTTTCCGTTTGAGTGACGGTTCAATTTATAAACGCGTCAAACGAAGTATGAAAAACCGTCTTTGTACTTTCTTGGGCATTCTGGCTATCGTTGCAGCACTTACAATCATAACATGCTATTTCAAAGCCAGAGGCGTAACTAGAACGTTAACTGGGAGGTGTATATTCATATATTCAGTTGTGCCCTACTGATTTCTTTTGAAATTCAAATTCACTTTCATAGACCCAATTTTACGAACTTTTTCGCTTCGAAAATTATCGCTTCGCTCGAAAAAATTCGCAAGTGGAAATCCGGCTTAATGAGAGGGGGAAAGTAGCGTCCACTACAGGCGGCAAGGTCACACAATTTATAATATACGTATTTTGTTTCAAAATACTTTAAATTATGATGTGTTTTCTAGATAATTTAAAATACATTATGAATGGAAAAAAATTTAAAACTTTTGAAATCCCTTTCTAGTATTTTCTTCTCTGACGATATCTCTCTCTTTGTGGAAGAAATGCAAAAGTACTTTGAGCTTTGCCTTCCAAGTTGCTCCATGTAATCGGCCTTTATACAGAGTTCGTAGGAACTAAAAGAAAAGAGATTTTCTTTTCACTTTGTTTTTGTTCTACCTCATGCTTATGTTAAGCTGCTGTGCTTATATGCATATGCTTAAACTTATGATTGTGTCGGTCGCTTCATTGCCTTCTTATGTATTTTCTTTTGTCTTTGTTTGTCTTTATGCTTATGTCGCTGGCGGTAACAAAACGAGATCATAGGTACACGGGATGAAAAATTGTCCAAATGAAATCCCTAGCCCTCTTTCCGAGATGAAATTATGGCATTAAAAACATGGCGACCAAAGGAGTGTAAGTGGAATTAAAGCCGAACTGAAGCAATTATAAGCTGGAATAATGGCATTAAATTCATTATATGAATATAAAGGAAGTATTCATAAAAAATTGACTATAAATGATATAAGCCTACACAACACAAAGAATTCCGGATGCACCATGTTTGTTTTTAAGTCGCAGTTGTTTGGGTAAATGTTGTTTGTCTATATTTGCTTCGGTTTCGGCAGGTGTGATTAAGACTAGACTGCAGTTTAGCAGACACCCGAATTACTTTTATGGGAAGCGCGGGCTCGTTTTGCTAAGGATTGTAATGTTTTGGGTCAGCATCCAAGGTGTCAGCTAAACTGTAGCAGTCCATAAATTTCTCATATGAAAGTCAGATAATATTTGTCTTTGTCAGTAGGAACTGTTGCTTACCGAGCTCATATGAATTTATTTTGTTTCTATATTATGTTAAGCTTCATTGCCATTCTGAACAATTACGCGTGATATGAAAAGCTCCAATAACCCAATACGATATATTGGTGGCTTGCAACCACCCCCCCTGGGAGTAACAGAACAATGGAATGCTCGCCATGTTTGATGAAATTTGCACTGTAATAAGGAAACTCCTTTTTTAAAATCGTCCAACATGGCGGCCATGATGCAGCTTGCAATCCAAGAATACGTAGTTCAATTGACATTGGTAAATTTTTACTATAATTTTACGTTCTTTGGAGTGTTCAAATAAAAAAACAGAAATTATGGGGAATGGGAGTATGTATGGAGGCAGTTGGAAAGGGTAAAAGATGAGAATGACCTCGGTATGTTGAGGTAGTAATTTCAGTGAATTGAGAATGTCTAAAGAATATAAACGCCGATATTAAGAATAGATTTATTGAAACTTAAAAACTCCACATTTTACGCCATTCTTGAC